GAGCAGTATTGTCAACCAGAATATCAATATGAGGGAGCAAAAAATCATCTTTAGGGCTTGCTCTGTTCAAGTCCCTATAATCCACACACATTTTCACTTTGTCATCTTTCTTCGGCACCGGCACAATATTTGCAATCCATGGCGGATAAGAGATAACTTTCAAGAAACCCACATCAAACTGTTTTTGAACCTCCTCTTTGATCTTTTTAGACATCTCGAGATGAGTTCTTCGAAGCTTTTGTTTGACTGAAAGACAATCCTGTCTGAGAGGCAGCTTGTGAACAACAATATTTGTATACAGCTTAGGCATGTCTTCATAAGACCAAGCAAAGATGTCAACATACTCTCGGAATATTTCAATTAATCTCTGTTTCACACTTTCTTCTAAAGCGGCCTCAATCTTGACTTCTTTTCGGACCTCCTCGGTATCCAAGTAGATCACTTCTAGAGCATCTTAGTGCGGCTGAACGACCTTTTCTTCTTGCTTCAACAATCTGACTAGCTCTTCAGGAAGTTCACAATCTTCTTCAGCTTCTTCGCCAGCTTAATAGATTGGATTTTCAAAGTTATAATGAGTCATAGCATAATCATTTTCGACGAAATCCTGGATTAATGGAGGACTATTTCTGCATGATTGATGATTTTATTTTGATTTTAGTTTAAGATTAAAAAAAAGAAAAATAAAACACTGCCAATTTTTTTGAAAAATAAAAGAGAAAGACAAGGAGCAAAACTTTTTAATGCAAAAACCGTCCTTTATTGATGATAATTTTGAAAATGAAAACATTGTGGCCCTACAGCATGATCACTACGTCTTACGCAGACCTTAGGAATTATTGCATGATAAAAACAAAAGAAAATTACTCTTCATAATGGGTAACTATGACGATGTCCTTAGAAAACCAATTGACAGGCTCTTGTCCCGGAACAGTAGGATGAACCCATTTGTCCATTTCACAATCATTGTCGCCTTTCTCGCTCACAACATGAGCTTCCTCATGGATGATACCACCACTGACAAATTTTATCGGAGAAGGAATACCTTGAATCTTTAGAACGGTAATCGACGCGCTTTGTCCAGCCATGAAGCCCAAACCCTTCTTATCTTTCTGCATAGAGAGATCCAACACTCTGCCCCAGCCTTCAGGGTGTCCAGATTCTAAAATTGCCTAAGCTTGTCGCTAAGATGCCATAGAGACTTCCAGCTTCTTAACCTCTTGACGATGAGTTTTGACAACTTGCACAGTTTTGAATTCTTGACACGGAGTCTCATGTACCTCGCCTTCCACTTCAACATACCGGAAGGAACTCATATGGCTGACAATATAGTCCTCTTCACCATAAATGATGACTACTTTCCCATTAACCAAGAATTTCAACTTCTGATGCAAAGTAGAAGTTAGAGGCCGGCCCCATGGATTCACGGCCGTCCTAGCGAACAACAATAGGAAGAATTAATATCCATGATAAAGAATGTCGCATTGAAGATCTGAAGACCTATCTTTATAGGCAAATCAACTTCACCAAAAACAGTTCTTTTCGACCCGTCAAACGCCTTAACCATCAAATCGCTGGACCTTGGCATAAACCCTTCATAGCCTAACTTCATGAGAGCAGAATTTGGCAGAACATTGAGGGATAATCCAGTGTCAACCAGCACACGGGATAAGACAGTTCTTGCAATCTCCATTGAGATATGCAGCACCTTGTTATGCTTCCTCCCCTCGGGAGGTAAATCGAAATATGTGAAACCTAGCCCATTGCTCGCAAAGATACTAGCCACGATTCCTTCAAATTGATTCACTGAAATTTCATGAGGAACAAAAGAAGTCTCCAATAACTTCATCACTGCATTTCTGTGAGATTCAGAATCCCAGAGCAAAGCAAGAATCGAGATTTTCGAAGGCGTCTGGCTCAACTGGTAAATTATCTTGTACTCACTCTTCTTTATATATCTCATCAATTATGCCAAATCTTTGGCTATCTCGGCTTCCATAGTCAGAACATGAGGATTCTTCCCCGATTCTGCACCATTAACCATAATTTACTTGCCTTTAACCTTAACCAAGGCATCTGTACTGCTTTCTGGTCGAACAGGTGGAGATAAAATCTGATCACTTCAGGTAATCCTGCTTTCATTGACAATTTCATGAACTTCAGACTTATCTTCCTCAGATTTACTTTTCTCATGCTTCTCAATAACATACTCTTGCCTCTGATAGTAAAATTCACCACTGTAGTTCCAAGGAACTGCCTTGTCACTGACATACGGCACTGGACTAGGTAGAGTGAAGGTCAGTGGCGAATGCTTGGTTGGAATCGAAATTATGGCAGGCACAGGAATTGTCTTGGACTTGAAGGGAATAGTAATCACGTCAACCTCATCGTCCTCAATCTTAGTCTTAACAACCACACGGTCAAACTGAAGATTTCCTTTGGTAATCAACCTCTGAATTTCATCTTTCAAACATTCACAACCCTCTGGCTGAATCAAACAATCTTCGTAGTTGATACCATAACCCATGAATACGCCTTTCTTCGACAATTTCTCTTTCACAAACCATAGAAGTGTAATCAGCTGGTTTATATCCATCACCAGATTTAAACCTTCATCTTCAACAATGGCATTGACAGTGGCGCTCCCATGAGGTGGCAAAGGTTGCTGGATAATATTAGGAGTCGACACTGGTTCGAAGTTAATAACTTCAGTGTCAAGCAAGTTCTTCACTTTATGCTTGAAAGCAATACAGTTCTCAAGAGTATGTCCCTTCCCACCAGAATGGAAATCACATCGGGCATTTGCATCAAAGTTGTATGGTAATTTCTCTGGATAACCTTCCAAGGGTGCAACTCAACCAATTTCAATTTGAGCAGAATAGATAATAGCTCAATGTAGGACATGAGAAGTGCATCAAACTTTCGCGGGGGTTGTCTTTGCTTCTGTTGATTATCCTGTCTTGGTGCATAAGCTTGCTTTTGAGGGGCGGCAGCCGGAATAGTCACAGCAGCAATATGATGATCTGGCCTCTAATATCTACCTTTTCCTTTTCGCGCATACAGCACACTAGCTTCACTTTCTTTCTTCTTATGGAAACCCCTAAAATACTTTTTGGCGTTACCAGCATTGATATTGTTTTCAACAGTAACATCCTGAATCTTTCCCAGCTTGATCCCGATTTCAATCCTTTCCCCGTATGTCACCGTTTCAGCAAACGTATCAGAAGTACTACAGCCCATACAATATTGCCCCTGCAGAGTGCTGGTAAACATGTCTACCATTTCTCTTTCTATCATTGGAGATTGGACCCTAGCCACCATTTCACGTCACCTTTGTGTGTAGTCCTTAAATGACTCATTCTGCTTCTCCGACAGATTCTGCAGCTCAGTTTTTATAGGAGCCATGTCAGAGTTGTATCGATAATGCTTGACGAAAGCCTCAGCTAGATCTCTCCAGGTACGGGTATGATTGCTCTCAAGTTACATGTACCATTCTAACAGTCCACTAGTCAGACTGTCCTAAAAGAAGTGCATGAGTAGCTTCTCGTCATCGAAGTACACTGACATCCTCCTATAGTAAGACTTAACATGTATCTTTGAACAGGAGGTGCCTTTGTACTTCACAAAGTCTGACACTTTAAATTTTGGAGGAATCTTCACTCCGAGAACTAGTCCCAAATCAGTTATATCAAGGCACATGGCACCCTGATTCTTTAAAGCCTGTATACGCTCATCGAGCATACGCAGCTTTTTATCAGCCTCGGTAGGTTCCTCAGCATTAGAAAGTCAGTCCTCATAGTTATCATCCTCAAGTTTTCGAGCAGGTATGTGAACATACCTTGGTTGAACGAAAGGTTGTTCATTGTTCCGACGAGTAGGAGTGGGTGGAGGCTGATTTCCCACAACTTGAATCACAAGGGTGTCTTGATTATTACCAACAGGATTACCAAGGTTAACAGTATGACCATTCTGAAGATTACCAACAACATTACCATTCAGATTCTGACCGCCTAGATTACAAAATTATTGGCAGTAACTCCCACAATATTTTCAGCATCTCCCAAAGGAGGATTCATGGCTCCATTCCCATTATATATAGTTACAACAGGCCTCACAATCAAAGCTCTCAATTCTTCCTGCTGACGGACCATATTTTGTATGATCTCCATCAATTGCTCAACTCGAGTGTCCATCTTGACACCCATAGCAGTAACATTGACTTGAATTTGTTCCATATTTCTTCTTGAATTACTCTAGTGTTATATCAGTGAGGATTGGAAGTAGCAATCTCTGGAGAGAAAAAAGCCAGATCAGAAGTAAGAAGACCAATTGGAATAACATGTTATGCATGATATGAATGAATGCATGATTGCATGTAATGCATACAATGACATGTTCAAATATTTCCAGGGTCCTAGAACTTTGATTCAAGTTCTTAGACGAGAGCGAGAGACAAGACAGTGACCACCAATAATCCAGATTCTCATTAAATCAGAACAAGAAGGAATACAAATAGTTCAAAGATCAGTATCAAGAGTATTACAATAGCAAATGAGAGATCTCATCAACAAGCCTGATGCTGACCTTTTGAAAACAGAAAAATACAATCGCTAAACATCTGATATCGGATAGCTCGCGGATCCTTGTCCTCCCATTTGACTTTTGAGACTTGCAATTTCTTATATGGCATGTGCTAGTTGAGTATTTCTCCCCTTGAGCAGAGTTTCTATCGCGAGCCTCTGGGTACTCGCTTCCTTAAGTCGAACGTCTTTGACTAACAATTGCTTCTCCAACCCTTCAATCTTTGTCTTGTACCTCTTCTCCAAGTCAGTTTTGGATGCTTTAAGGATCTCACAATCTTGGCACTTCTGTTTCTATTTCTTTTTTATCTTTGCGACAATTTTTTGGTGATCTTCCAAGGAAACAACATTGTCTTCAACCCTTTGTCTCTTTTTTACAACCCCTGAAGTTTCTCCCTTGAACCTTTTGAGCTCATGGGTAAGTTAAGTCTTCTCTTGGGTAGCCATAAGACGTTTTACCATCATAGTCTCACGTTCCTCAAGCAATCGTCGATTCTGAGCTTTCACTAGCTCATAATCTCCCTTTGGTACAACATCAGATTGATATGACTCTTGAGAGTACAAAGGCTTGTCTATGGCAAAAGGCCAACGATGATATTTATTTTTCTTTGATCCATTGAATGTAAGGCCCATAAGTTATGGAATCTTTCTTACCCAAAATATTGTCCTCCTTCAAAGTGAATGATTTTCCAAGCTTTAATAGCTCTATCCATCCATCAGGTACTGTCAGGCACATCATAGAATAAGGATTCCCGCACTTGCTCCTTTTGAGGTGGTCCTCTCAGAGCATATCTCAATTGTCTTTGAAAAAGAGTATGGAAAAAAACTCGATGTAAAATAGGAATGTCCAAGATGGTAGAATATTCTTTTAAAGTCGATGCTAACAGATAGTCAGGGAACATGAAGCAGCTCAAAGTGTAGTCATAAAACCGAAACAGGGCTTGGACGGCATCCTTCTAGTACTCACTGAGCGGAGACTTTAGACACATCAAGATTCTTCCATAATCTTTCGTAAAGGTAGCAACATTCTCAGGAGGAGACATCTTGGCTAACAAAAGAAGATTGTTGAGAACTGACGCAGAGAACGTGTAGACGACATGATATCATTGATTGTCTTTCTTCTCGGTATCCATCTTCAAATGCGGCCTAACCAACAAGACTCAAAGACTAGAGATCCTGGAAATAAGAAAACATGTATGTTAAAATGCAGTTAATAATGTTTAATAAATGCAATGGGATCATGGCTTCCATAAACTGAACCATTGTTATGCTGATAACATAACCACAATCACATGTAACAGGATCAAAGGTCCGAACCATTTCAGAATACCAGAGAACCAAGTGTCAAAGAACCAGCATATGTATCTATACCCCACCTCACAGATAAATTCCAATCAAAACAAGACTTCTAGTGACAATCAGAGTCAGAAGACCTTTATCCGAACACCTAGTCTATGCACAAAGGGTGCAAGACAAAAGACATTGTCAAGAGAATCTCGTCTGAGTGTGGTATCTCATACCTCCTCACATGTGTCAACAAAACACGGGATTCGACACACTAGTAGAAAAACACTTGTTAAGTCGGTTAAAAACAACTTAAGACGATTGCAAACCTGACCTAAGTGTCAACATAAGAAGTAAAGAGAAATACATGCAAGCATTCCTCTTCATCTTCACTTCCCATTTCAAGTGATAGTACCATCAACCGATAGAAACATAAATAATTATATGATATGGAAAATATATTGTATACCAATACAAATTATCCACAATTGTGAAACAAAAAAAGACAAGGTAACTTCAAAATAGAAGGAATTGTTTGTGGCGACCATAACAAACACCTGATTAGAAATATTGCTTATGGTAGTAAGGCAAAGACCTTAAGATTCCCCTGCTTTGAAGTTGGCTCAAGAAATATCGCTTACAAATCAACGCATCAAGAACGTAGAGTGATATTGTTTTTCCAGGTTCATTCCCATGAGTTGCATCCTTTATGACCTACCATTTCAAATTATGTAAAACTGTAATTAATTGGCATACCAATATTCATAAAAATATATAAATAAATGTATTAAAATGAATATGATAATTAGCGAAAAACAAACCCAACAATAACACGGATAGCACCGGGAAACAACGAGACTAACATCTCGTGGATAAGGTAGATTTAATGAAGACTTCAATTATTTTTCTAGCCTAATGTGCAAATTGAATTATTAACCCACAATTAATCTTACAATATGGTCTTACAATCAATTAAAGAGCGTGTAACATACGGTCTCCTAGGAGCTTTTGATGTTTCGTTTCTAAGAATTGCCATGATAAGCTTAAACAATATGGTCAAGCAAGCACCATTTGATAATTGTTTAACCACAATGAGATCAAGGCATGTTATACTGTCAGAACATAGACTTCCTGGAAACATTAAACCTTTCATCTCGCAGCTTAGCCATGCATATCAATGCTACCTGAGGGACACTCCATGTATGGATAATTAAATCATAATTGGAAATAGTAAATTTAAAACAGAATAACTTGCAAAAAAGAAAAAACTACAAATAACAAAGAATTCTATGTATAATTGTGATCTATCAATTAAAAAAACTGTCATTCTCACTCATGAAAATAGAAACATAAAATAATATTGCATTAGGATAGCTATAAATTAAGGTTTAAAGAACACCTAAAAACGCTAAGAAACATGCACCACTACTATCTTGAATGTTGGCTGGGGTTGGATCTTTCAAGAACAAATGTTTGAGTGACACCACCATTCATGCTTAATCATCACCAATATTAGCAAGAATAGAGTCCACATGCAGTAACAGAATGTATTTACTTACATTATAAAAAAGTACAACTCATTGGTGGTTAAACGCAAAAACAGGAAAGAGTGTTATATAAAAACAAATCCCTAAATCTGACCTGTTTATTGGGTTAATGGGATGTAAAATAAAACAAAAGAAACAGATAGACCCTTATATTTAAAAAAAAATTAACTTTTCCAATTTACCTTGAACGGTCAATCCACCCTGTTTTTTTTCAGCAGGTTAAAAGCAGCAAGCCAACTTGATTGGTAAAGTTCAAAATTTCAACTTGCCAGACTGCCATAGTTGACCCCTTTCATCACCTCTGATCCAAAGGGCTAGCTGTATAATGAGAAATTAAAAAGGAATTTAAAAGGACCTGTTTCAACAACCAACCAACATATTGTTACAAATCTTCAATCTTGGCTGCTTTTATTTATTCTTTTGAGCAAGAAAGGAACAGGTTTTTTCAAAACCTTTACGTTAACGCCGTTCCAAACATTAGATAAGGTGGGGAGTGCATCACTTTTCTCAGAAATATTCGTGTATTCTGAAATAACAAAGCCAGAGACAATGTATTCTTGTTTCCATTCGGAATTATCAGCTAAGTTAATAAAGAATTCTGGACCAGAACCAATCAAAGCAACTGAGCCTCTTCCAAAGAGTGGACAATCTTCTAAAGGAAGATTATGGAATGGTGTGCCTTGTGCTTCTAATGTCCCTTGAGTTAATGCATATGGAGGACCAAAACCATCCTGCAAAATATGAACTCATTTACTATCATCCAACACTACCTAGCTAGGAAACAATTGTATAAGACACAAACACTAAACATGACACTGACGCGTAAATACACGTGTTAGTGTTGTGTAGGTCACCAACACAATAAAATTGCATTGATAGTAGTAGAGTGATATAGTGTATCCTTAGATTTTTTATATGTTTCATTCTGAATCCCATGATTGACCTCGGCTCTCTGCACCGGTATAATTCGCAGCCAGCACAATGGTGCAAAGGCATCAGTTCTAGAATATAGGCAACTGTGTGTGCAACACAGTCGGGGAAAAGCTGCGTCAAATAAAGAATATCCAACATTAAACATATTTTTAACTCATGGCGACAAAGTGATTGAAATATATAGTAGTATGGTCAAATACATCACTACTAATTAAAATTCTGAGGTACTGCATAATCATCCTGTGAATGTTCAAATATTAATTCATAACTACAAAAGAAACATGGAAAGTGTGAGGGGAATAATATGGCATTGTACAATATAAAAGCATTTAGATTTTAATCATCTAACATTCAAGAGCACTTACTTTGATATGAATAGTTCTGTATTCAGTTTCAAACCCAATAATACCCTGAAAAAAGATGAAATATCACTAAATCAAAATATCACATATCACTATTAAAAACCCTAACTTAACAAGATAAAGAGAATCACATGTGAGTTTTGATACACTTCAACCTGATTCACAAAGCAACAACACAAGATAAAGAGAAGATCTAAGAACATAGCGTGGAAAATTAATTTTCATTATGATTACCAAATCGAGAAGAAAGAAATCGAATTCAACAGAGTCAGCAACAACAATTTCTCAAAGAGAGGAATCAACAAATCGTCTTTAAGAATTGAGTTGTGTTGTTCTTCAAATAGAGGAAATAGAAGAAATCGAACAAATTGAAGAAGCGGTTTAGAGATTGAATTTTGGCATTCCTCAAAGGAATCAGCTTTAGGGTTTGTTTTTAGGGAACTGGATTAGCGGGTTCATTATAAAACGAGGGTAAAGAACAATTTCTCAAAATGAACCTGGGTCCTTTGGTTTTTTTAGAAATAAAATATTTATATTGTTTTAATGATCTAATGTTTTTAACTTAAAATATATAAATACATCTAATTATTTAAATAATACTAATATTTTTTTAAGTCACGAAATAAAATATTTATATTGTTTTAATGATCTAATGTTTTTAACTTAAAAAATATAAATACATCTAATTGTTTAAATAATACTAATATTTTTTAAGTCACAATTTTATTTCAGGAGGGTGCCCGATTCGATCCTCCATGATATACATAGTGATTTAGGTCAAATGGGCAACACATAACTTAATAAATTGACTTCTTAAATTAGGTAGTGAATATAGACGACTTAAAAAATTTAATGAAGATTATATTTTGTTTATTTAATGTTTGTTAGGTCAATTTATAATGCATCCGACCTAACTAAGTTATAAATATTTATGGAATTGCCAATGTGTTACTTCTTAAGTCAGGTGGCAGATAAATTGACTTAACAACCTCTGCTAAAAAGGTATTTTTGTACTAGTGACATAAATATCTGTCTAACCTATGTGTACACTGGCCTGGGTAATGGGTCTTTCACCTTATGGAACACCCTCCCACCAATAAAACAGCATAGCACAGCAGCATTACAGAATAACAAAAACAATTATCTAGATGCAGATGAATGCACACATATATACATATAAACATGTACACATATAAACATATATACATATGCACAAGTCATAAAGTTAAAAGAAAATAAACACCTAAAGAAAAGAAAACAAGAGCTAGGAGTGACTCCGGGATGGACCAGCATTTGATCAATCTGTCCCCAGTGAAGTCGCCAGCTGAAACAATCGGCTGAACAATCATCGAGAGAAAATCAATGAAGTCATCATTGAACGTTTTTTATCCCACGGGAAGGGAAAGGTAAACATCGAGTAAACCTGAGAAGGGTGAAATCACGATCATATGACAGAGAGATAAGGGTAAGAGAGTCGATTACGCAAAGGGAATGTATAAGCATCCCTCACATTCGTGATACTCCACGGGATCCACTTTTATTGTTATAATCTAAAGCCTACGAACAAAAGGAAAAAATGCAAAGAGGGAATGCATGCAAAAGAAAACACGGGAAAAAGAAGGAATATTTACAAAGTTTTGCTCGCCTAGACCCCACGACCAAATGTCTATGTATCCCTTTTAAGGAATCAGAGCGCCGTAGTTCAGCTCAAAAGTTTCCATTTGTATTGTGCTTTTTATGGATAATGTCGCATTCGCGTCCTTATGGTTAGGATTGCAATTCATGCTTGGCGTTGCAGCTCGTAAAAAGACTCATGCTCGGTCCCTCGCACACTTAGCATTTCCAAGTTGTTCGAGTTTGAAACAACATATCCTTATTAAAACGTTTTAAAGGAAAACAAAAGTCCGAAGACAAAAAAGGTTTGCATTGGTTGGTGTTTTTTCACCTTAAAAAAGGGTTTAAGAAATGTTAGAATGTTTTATGAATTTTCCAAAGAAAAGGGATTTTAGTCTTAATCATGCAAAAGGGAAAGAAAAATATTTAAGGGAAACTATCTAGGTATATCCCTAATGTTATCATACAATGATTGGTCCTATAGTTGAGTTTGAAAGGGAAATCACTACCTTTGTTAGCATGCATGAATTACGATCCTAATATCTAACTTGCATCGGAAATGAAACAAGTGAATCTTAAGGGAACATACAAACGTGTAAAGAAAAGCACAAGCACAAGTGCAATCAAACAAAGTCAAGCCAAAACCAAAACAAAATCGAGTGCAAGCTAGCAACAAACAAATGAGTCCAATGGATCTCAAAGTGGTAGTAAGGAACTTTTTCCACTTGATTTGCTCGAACGCCGACATCGAGTAACAACTCGGAGCATCAACATTTAAAGAAATGTGAGCTAACATCGTCGAAATGAATGACAAAGTGTGGGGGTTGGTTACGAATCCTTTCTTCAACTTATTTGACTCAATGTATAAAAATAAGCACGATTCAAAGCATCAATGCATAACACGAGCTAAGAAAGATACAGATTGGAAAGTGTGGGGGTCGACTGCGGGCACTTTGTTCCACTTATTGACTCGATAGCAAGCACAGAGTAAACGGGAACTGGGAGAGAAATTGGATTTGCCTTCGTCGAGGTCTTTTGCACATAAGCAAACACAAACATTGCCTCGTTTTGAGGTCTTTGAGCAAACACAAACATCGCCTCCTTTGAAGACTTTAAACAGATTTGCCCACCTAAAGTAGGGACTCTCAGTCATGCATCTTTATTCCTACTTCTCATGGCAAGGAAAAAGAAAGACAATACGGAAATTAAATCAGAATTAGAATGATACCAAACGAACAAGAGTTCGTAGCAAGCAAGCAAAGCAAAGAAACCCAGAAAACTTCGTGCAAGCTAGCATCAACAAATAAAACGGTCAGAGATTGGGCGTTCGGCATAGGTGTCAAAGTATCGATAATGTGAAAATAAATCACACGTGAAATGTGCATCGGACACATTTGCATAATAAACAGTATACCTGCACAAAAATTCACATCCAAACAAAAACACAAGCAATGTATATATCTCATAGAATGAGACTCAAAATCAAGTGCGTCGGAAGCAAACTTGAATCCACAAATAAGTGGAATAAAATTCTTTTCAATCAAATAATCAAAACATTAACTAAGCGATTGAAAGCTCTCTTTAAATGCCTTGCACAAGTCAACAAATGCGTTAGTAATAGCAAGGAGACATAATCGGAATCAATTATCCGCATCATAAATTAAATCAAGATTAAAATGTGAAGAAAAGCAATCCAAACAAAGCATTGGAACGGCAACATCAAAAAATTGGGCAACATTGTCGTTATCTCATGAACCGCACAAAATGTCAATCCGAAATCATAAATACTTGATACAAACATCGTCCAAATACCAAAATAAACTCCTTTGAGCATTAACCATCAATTAAATCGTGCATTAAGCTCAACTTACCAAAATCGGACAACATTGCGCCATATCACAACATTAGTCGAAAATTGTGTCAGAAACGGTAAATCTCAATATTAACAATCAATAAACGCATAATTATGCACAAGAAAGTATAAAACAACATTTGAAAATCCATTTGCAACACGTTTTTATTTTTTGGGCAAAAACACATACATGTATCAGAATCAGACAAGAAAGAGTTTAAAACTCATAAATGGTTACACAAAAATATTCACCGATTCATGTATCATCACTTAGAAATTACCAACACTTTGCAAACAAATAATGCAACCATAAAGTGTCGATTCCAAGCCAAAACAATCAATGTTCAAGTGTTAATGCAATTTATCGGATTTGAGGTTTTTAATGTCTGAAAAGTGAATTCATCAATAAATCGATTCAAAAATTGCATTAACTCATGAAAACAAACTTAATTCTCATCACAATTCCATAATTGACACTTAGATCCAAAATTTGGAATTCAAAATCAACATCGATTATACCGATTAAATTCAAGATCTACACCGACTAAGTCATCATTCAACCAATTCCACACTTATTCATCATTATCAATTCAAGAATCAACTTAATTTCTCAAAATCAAGGTTCAATTCACATTTAAATCAAATAAACACTTATCTCAGAAAATAAATTATCACAATAATTGCTTAATTTAAGTAAGTTTGAGAAAATTTACCGATCGGACCAGTAGAGTCATCAGTTGTCGCGCCGTGAAAAAAACACAGAGTCACCACTGAACTCTATTTATCTTGAAGGAAGGGAAGATATCGAGAGAACCCCAAAGAAATGGATAAGATGGTCTTGCGACCAAGAGAAAGGATACGAAAGTCAGTTACGCGAGGGGAAGGTATTAGCACCCCACGTGTATGTGGTACTCCATAGGATCCACTTAAGTTTGCTCTAATCTAAGGGTGTGTAAAAAATTATGTCTAAAGCTTAATGTTAAGAGGGAATGCATGCGAAAGAAACACACGGGGAAAGGAAGGAATACTTACAAAGTTTTACTCGCCTAGGCCCTGCGACCTAATGCCTATGTATCCCTTTCAAGGAATCAGAGCTCTGTAGTTCGACTCACATGTTTCAGTTTGTTGTATGTTTTTTTACCTAGAAAAAGGGTTTTGAAAGAAAAGCCAAGCGACAAAATGAAGTTTGAATTGATTGGTGTTTTTTATCTTGAAAAAGGGTTTTTACATTATTAGAGTGTTTTGAAGTTGAAAGAAAAAAGGAGAATTTTAGTTTTAATGTGAATGCAAAAGAGAAAGAAAAAGGCCTAAGGGAAACTGACAAAGTAAGCCTAGAGTTGTCATGCATGGTTTGCAACCTAAGGTCTATCTCAATTCGCTTCCTAAGATTGAATCGAGAAATCTTACGGGAGCATGTAAACATGAAATGGAAAGTAAACACACAAAGCTTGAGGAGTATCCACTCACTCAAGTAGCACACACCTAACCAAGGTACCATGTTACCAAGGAAGGAAAGGGAGAGGGATCACGCCTAACCACGATATAGTGTCATCGAGGTAGGACAATGGAGAATGGGAACCTAGCCACGATATTGAGTCATCAAGGTAGGATAAAGGAAGGCCTAATGTTGTACCCAAAAATTTTCCCTCCCATATTTCTCAAAACATTGCAAGAAAGATCCTCAAGTTGCTCAAGGTAGTCCAAGGGTTGGCCAAACAAGCTCTCTCCTAAGGCAGTCTACCCCAAATTAGGGTTTCATGTTGCATCAAGATACTTGAGTCCAAGTGATCCCAAGTGCTCACCAATGTCCTAATATGTTCTCAAGATTATCCATGTAAAATTTCAAGCCTTGCAGAGGAAGTTTGCTCAGTCAATTGCTCAAAGGCCTGAAAATCGATTGTGTTATGGCAAAAGTCAATTGTGGCCCACATACAGTCAAACTTCAAGATTTTTGGTCAACATCCTCATTTTGAAGTATATTTCATCATTTGATCAAGGGTTGATCATGATTCATCAAGGATTGCTCATAATTCATCAAGACTCAAAAGTTGCTAAATTAGGGTTTTGCAGGAAAAGTCAACTCAACTTTGACCAAGCATAACTTTCTCATACTTTATGAGAAATGACCCATCCAAAGCTCATTTTGAATAGGATGCAATTCCCTACAATCCATATTCATTTCCCAAGTTCAAAATATGCACTCACAAGAAGTTATGAATTTGGACATTATAGGTCATTTTGAAAAGTCAACAAAAACACCTTTTTTGTCAAAGCTTCATACTTGAGCATGGAATATCAAAATGAGATGAGACTAAAAGGGTTGCTTATATGACATCTCAATATTTCTAAAAAGTCCAAGAAAACCTCCAAAGAGTCAAAATTGAGGAAGTTATGCATTGTTGAAGTTGATCTTTTTTGCAAAATTGCCAAAAGTCAACTATCCCCAAAACTTCAAATTTTGCCAAATGGGCCCAATATTTTTCACTTGTTTTGGGTTGGCATCATAACCCACGTGCTCTAGCCCTTGCCACTTGTCCATATCTTATTTTTATTATTTATTTTGATTTTTATTTGAATTAATTTAAATTAAATCATAATAAATCAAATAAAATCCAAAATATTGATAACAAAGGATCTTGTGATTATTTCAGGCTTCATTATACAGCTAGCATCATTCCAATTCGTGCCAAGCCTTAGAGTGCACAAAAAGATTGAAAAGAAGACAAATTTGGAAGGTTGTTAAAGGGAATCAAATTAATATCCAAAGCATTGAAAGAAGAAGATTTGGACACAACTATTAACCCTAATGCATTGCTGGATACATAAGGAGGCGAGGCGGATCAAAACAAAGGTTAGAAAACAAGCATAGAGCAAGAACATAATTTGCAAAAAGAAGCAAAAAGTGTGAGATCGAATTGGTGGTTAGAGGCATCCTCAAGGTTTGGTATCTGTCCCAATCGCTTCTTGGCAGTCTCCACAACCTAAAGCAATCAAAATCAAACGTTTTCAAGTCCTCCCACGCGCTGTAAGTCCGTCATGGTATCACCCTTTTCTTGAATTCGAAAAGCTTTATTCTTGCATCCATAGTGTAAAATAATGGCATAATCTTGATCACCATGATGTTTGCAAGCTTTTGGCATTAGCCAATTTCATTTATATGGACTGAATCGAAATCCACCATTGTTAGGTCTTCCAGTTTGGTTTTAGGGTTTTTGTTTTCAGGTACAATTAGCCTTTGAAAGGGGTATGGTTGTGATCAGGAAGACGAGACGGACACAACCATGGCTTTAGATTTTATTTCTATGGCCTGTAGAGGATTTTGGAAATACACAGACTTGTAGCAACAGACATTTGTCCGTGGGTATAGGTATTGCAAGTTTTAGCCATGAAGAGGGGAAGGAGATGATGCGTTGTCACTCCCCTACTGGCCTGTTTGAATTTCGCACGGATTTTCTTTTGTTTTTTCTTGTTTCTTATATTATTATTATTTTGTAATATATTAACAATCAAAACAGAATGGCCCAAGGGTTGCCACATGAGTATTCAAGGCATAGAGGCTGGAGGTCAGGGGTTCGATCCCTGCCTCCAGCATTTGTTATTTTCCCATTTATTTTTAGGAAATCATATGCATATGCAAGCCAAGCGCTCACCACGGACCTTCATCATCCATGCGCCAGATGGCCAGATCTGATGGCTACTACTGAGGGTGCACCAAAGGGCCAGTCAATGCACATGCGCAGGATCCAGAAAGTCAAATGGACCTTCTCCAATTGGGCCAGAATTCTTGCTATTGGCACACCACTTTCAGGCCCATCTCTCTCTTTTTTATATTTTGTTTATTTTCATTTAATTATTTATTTATTTATTTACTTAACCAAAAATTATTTTCTTTTTATCAAAAAATCACAAAAAAATATTTTATGTCCAAATAAATTTAGAATTTTATTTTTTATCAATAAATATTAATTAATTTAATTAGGTTAATTTTAGATAACTTTCATTTATTTTTGTAAATATTTAAAATTAATTAGAATCAATAGGTTTTAACACTAATTTAATGATTTTATTTCTTTCCTATAATAACCAAAAAAACCAAAAATATGTCATTTTATTATTTTCATTAATTAATTTAATCACTAATTAATTTGTACATTTAATTTTAAAACCTAAATTCTTTTCTTAAAAAAATATTAAAAAACAACAAAAACATTTTTTAATTAAGAGGGTCAAAACCCTAGTTTCGCATTCGATTCAAGTTTCTTGTGCGCTTTATTTTTCTTTATCCAAATTATTGTATCTGCTCCCGGTATGTAATAATTTTAATTAGGACATTTATTTATTTTTTCTGCTTTTAAATTTCAAAGGGTTTGTTTTTGGCGATGTAAATACATGATGCCTTGTAATAGTTAGTTTAAATACCGCACTTTAATTTCTGAAAATATCCAACTGCTAGATGTTTGATAATAGGGTTTGCATGACAAGAATGAATGTCTAATTTTAAAACAGTTAGATCACCCTAAACATGTGTAAAGATAAAAATATCTGAAATCAACACATTCGCACATGCGCACTCCTAGGGTACACTCCCACTTGGTTGCCTTCGTACACGGTCATTGAGTATAGGTTGTTTTAGAGGTCGCCCTCTTGTCTAAAAGGTCATAGTTGCCTCGGAAAGGTTGCCTCATATATTGTTGCCTCGGATAAATGATCTAAGACATTAGGGTTACCACTAAGACGTCCTAACGTTGCTTTAGTGACCGCATGTCCCTTTTCGAATTGACCCTTAAACTCCAACGACGGTGCTACCTACTCACTAATAGTGGGATAGCATTGTCTAAAGGAAACAAACATAGAACGATTCCTTTTTCGAGTAGGTAGATTAGTTCTTAAGTAGTTGCTCTTTCAAAACAAAACTTTTTTTCACACTTACACTTTTACGAACATGTTTTCAAAAACACTTCATTACACTCTTGAGGACAGAAGCAAGAGTTAAATCGAAGTTAAAATAAAAACTTTGCAAAACCCACAAACACAA